ACTGGCTGTCTCCCTTCTTTGTCTTGAGAGCCAATTGAAAGAAGGTATTCGTTTGACTGAGTAACTTGATCCCTAGCTCTCTAAACGACAACACGTTTTAAAAATCCTTCATTAGTATTGGAGAACATCCTGAGAGACATCAGTAAATGATAAATGGGTGGAAAATATCAACGCCTTGCCTCTGAAACCGGTTCCAAGACGTTAAAAAAGGGTATTTTCTCCTATCTTTTCTTTACCTGGTTAAATGGGCTCCTGAAACTGGATATATTTTGGAAAAGGATCGAGGAATTCCTATGTAATCGTCCAGCATTAATTAAAACAAGTAGAAGTGCCATAATATATTCCAAAGATACCCAGCCTTGTAAAATTGGAAGTTTGACTTTTACCAAAAATATTGATAGCACGAGAGCAACATGTATTGAACTGGACACTGAGCCCAGAGTAAATATAATCGAGATGTCGGCATCATGGACAAGTCAACAAAAGAGTGTTTTACACCAAGTCTCGATGGTAGTACAATCAAACCAGTTACTTATAGTCACAGGACCTGTTGGCAGTGGAAAGAGCTCTTTACTGATGGCCATCCTTGGGGAAATTCCCACAACTGAAGGAGAGATTACGCTCCATGGTCGAACAGCTTATGTTAGCCAAATACCTTGGATCTTCTCGGCTTCCATTCGTGACAATATTGTCTTTGGACGACCATTTGACGAGTCTCGATACAAGAGAATACTAGAAATGTGTGACCTTGAGAAAGACATCAACTGCTTCCCTCATGAAGACTTGACCATTATTGGCCAGAGAGGTGTAGGTCTCAGTGGTGGCCAGCGTGCAAGACTCAGTCTAGCACGCGCAGTCTACTCAGAAGCAGATATCTTTTTACTGGATGACCCACTCAGTGCAGTTGATGCCAGGGTTGGACAACACATCTTTGATAAGTGTATCTGTGGAGAGCTGTCGAATCGAGTAAGAGTTCTGGCGACCCATCAAGTACAATACCTTCCACGAGCTGACAAGATAGCAGTAGTAAGAGAGGGTGCTGTTGTTCTCGGGACATATTCGGAATTGAGCGAAAACGGAATAGTAGATACCTTACAGAAAAGACATGAAGATACTACAAGCGACTACACATTGCTTGAAGACGTCAATCATTATGATTATGATAATTCTAAGGACATGAGGGAGGAAGATGAGGACCGAGCTACTGGTACGGTGTCTTGGCGCTTGTACTGGAGGTTTTTCAAGGCTGGATTACCACCTGTTATCATTGGTTGCCTTGCTTTATTTTACATCATCGCTCAAGGTATTTATAATGGGAATAATTTATGATTTATATAGCGCCCTTTCCTTATGGATATAACCAAAGGGGCTTTCTATTGAGTTGTGAATTTCAGATTGTTTTTTATGCAATTTACAATCATGAGAGACGGTTAGTATGAGGTGTAGGCACTAAGGGTGGTCACTGCCAGGGTTTCTTTACGTCCTCAGTGGTTCTTTTACGTCCCTCCGATATTGGTTATGACGATAATTTGTGGAGAGACGGGACCGCCATTTAAAGAGGACATCCGAGCCACTCGAAAGTGTAACCATTTGCAGATGTATATGAAGATGTCGATGTATGCAAAGGCAGCACTTTCTCCTCAATTTTTTTAAGAACTCTATTGTTGGTCCGGCCGGGATTCGAATCACAACCTCCCGTACGAAAGTCCGATGCTCAACCAATGGCTTGGCCAACCAAGAGGTTGGCGGTAATTTGGCAATTTGGTAATTCGAGACTTTGAGTCTCCTAGAATAGTAAGGTTACCTGAACTAAAAGTATAGCCATACGTTTACTATTGTTAATTTCATGGACGAAACAAAATTCATCTATATCTTTGGTATCTCTCTCTATGTATTTTGACATTAAATATAAAGTGCGTACAGTTAGCTCAACTTGTAAAAACTTGGTCTTGACCGGACCAAGTAACTCAGGGTCTTAAATACTGATAGGAGAAGTTGTTGCTTTTGCTAATTACATCAGCAAATATTTAGACTATAATGCTTTCTTGGAAAAGGAACCGTAGGTTTAGTCGCAAAACCCTTCTTTACCCTGTAAATTGAGGACCTGGTAAAAGAACCTGTGGAATAGACCTTTATTGTTTGTTGCGCACATTTCAGACCATGTGACGCCACTCTTGTAGATTCTTTCATGTGTAAATATTTTAACATGCTTGTCATCAAAAAAAAATTCTCAAGGGAATGTCATGTCATCTAATATGATGGGCAATTTGCATACGAAGCTCAAGAGGTCTATTAAGTAGTAAAGTAGTGGATCTCTATTTGGAGTCTTTCCTGGTATAGCAAGCTTTATTGTATTTTGGGTATTGTTTAGCTCCAAATTCATTATCCTTGCGTATTTGGTTTATAGTCTTCATGCTTCAGGCGCCTTCCAGCACCAAGAAATGGCCCAAATTTGAGGCATAACATTTTCAAATAACTTTCACCAGTTTTTATTACAACAATATAGAAAATTATATTAGAAAAGTTTCAGCTGATTTAAATCTAGGAAAATGTTTGTCCAAGAGGCACTTGGATAGTGTGTAATGGACAGAAGCCGGTCATTCTTTCTGTTGCTTACTCATGATTAACGTACGTTCTCCTTCGTGTAGCGTCATCGGTGGTTCCAACTTGGTGGATGTCACGAATAGTTCATATGACACTACAGGAGCAAAGAGGTTCCTTCTCCTTGAGCGTGTTTGGTGGTTTGGTTGGAGCATCGTTAATTCTTTTCTTAGTAAAAGACTTGGCTTTTGTAAGTGCAATTTTGAGGTCTACAAGAAAGCTGCACGACAAGATGACACTGGCTGTTATCAAGTCTCCTGTTCTGTTCTTTGATACCAATCCTGCTGGACGAATAATGAACCGCTTTTCCAAAGATATCGGTGCTATGGATGATCTGCTGCCTATCCAATTCCTTTACTCGGTTCCTATGTGCTTGAATATAGTTATAGTTATATTACTAGCTTTGGTAGTTAGCCTGTGGATCGCTGTTGCTGTCATTCCAATGGCAATGCTGTTATTCTTGATTGCTGCGTATTATCTGAAGAGTTCTCGTGAACTGAAGAGAATAGAAGCGATAAGATGCAGCCCTGTCTATGACCATGTTGCCGAAACCATTACAGGGTTAGAAGTCATTCGAACATCAGGGGCGGAAGAAGAATGCTGCAACAAATTGTTAAGGTAAAAAACTGCATAGCATTATTTGCTAGTCAAAAGCGAGTGTGTTAAATAAACAGTGCCTTTGGTTTGACATGGTTAGGGTGGCTATCATCAGTTCCGAGAAAGTAATGAAATTTAGTCTTCCATGGCAGGTGCTGCTGCTTGTAACCTCTTTCACAAACAACTCAGTTCGGAGGAGACACTTCATTGTTTTAAAGTCATTTACAACTCCCACTCCCCCATACAGTTATGAAGTGTACAAGAGTCGTTCTTCTGCACTAATGACTTTAATTTCACAGGCTTCAAGATGAGCATACCAAAGCCTTTTTCCTAGTCATGGCAACATCTCGCTGGCTTGGACTGTACGTTGATTTACTGTGTGCCTTTTTCTTGGTTGGGGTAGCCATCGTAGGACTGGTTGCCATTCATGATCACGGTAAATATACAAATATCAGTTCTTGCAAATGATTGATTWGTGCAAATAGATCTGACAGAATGAGGGCAAAATAGTTTTATTTGTAACGTTTTTGCTCTCAGGTTTAGCTGGAATGTTACTGTCACTTTCTATCACTCTCTTCGGTACTACCCAATACGGTATACGCCAGGCTACTGATGTTGTGAGTCAAATGACGTCAGTCGAACGAGTGATGACGTATACTGAGCTACCTTCTGAACCTGGGTACACCAGACAAGACAAATCATCAGATGACTGGCCCAGTCAAGGTTCTTTGTCTATACGAGACTTGTCCATGGTGTATTTAGAAGGTGGACCCTCAGTACTAAAGGACATCAACCTCGATGTTCAACCCAAAGAGAAGATTGGTATCGTAGGTCGCACTGGAGCAGGCAAGTCATCTCTTGTAGCTGCTCTCTTTCGGATGCCCGATCCTCAAGGCCAAGTATTTATTGACGGTGTTGATCTTGGCACCATTGATATACAGGTTGTGCGCAGATCCATGGCTGTTATCACTCAAGACCCTGTGCTGTTTGCTGGAAGTCTCAGGAAGAATCTAGATCCATTCAATCGTTTTACAGACCAGGCCATCTGGACAGCACTTGATGAAGTACAACTGATGAAGAAAGTCAGCAAACTGCACCACCAGCTAGACTACTGTGTAGGGGAGGGAGGGTCAGGATTTAGTGTAGGTGAACGACAACTGCTGTGTCTTGCTCGAGCATTATTACAGAATTGTAAAATACTTGTGCTGGATGAAGCAACAGCCAACGTGGACTACAAGACAGATCACCTCATTCAACAAGTAATCAGGCAAAAGTTTACCAAGTGTACTGTGCTGACCATAGCTCATCGAGTGAACACCATCATGGACTATGACAAGGTAGTGGTTCTTGACCATGGTCACGTGATGGAATACGATAATCCCAGAGTTCTTGATGGGAAAGAAAATGGCTTCTTTTCAAGATTGATAAAGGGACATCGTTATAAAAGTTGAAGCCTTCGGCTTTAGACCCTTTGCATGTGACGTCAAAGCAGCTCAGTTTTGATGAGCAAACAAAACAATTTTCAATCTCAATAGAATTAGAAACCTATTGTTATATCCTCCAAATTGAGCTGCATTCCGACGTGCTGCAAGGGGACTTTTGAAGTTCTCATCTACTGGAATGCATCTCGATTTCAGGATGATGTCCCCCCCCCTC